AAGGCCAAAGAGACCCCCAGTACAACCAGCGGTAGCAGTTCGGGCAACAAGAGCAAGACACCCTCGTCTGGTGCCGTGCTCGAGCGATGGATGTTCGATGTCAGCTCTTTCCCAGCGTGGCCTGGAGGCTCCGACGCCATGGGAGACTTTGGTAGCGCCCTGCAGGCTCAGAGCGAGGACAATGACGGCGGCGAAGGCGACCTCGAAGAGGACCCAGCCGCGGCCGACGACGGAGACGACGGAGACAACGATTCCGATGTAGACGACGCCGAGGTCAACTGGGTCGATGTAGATGAGCAGTTCCGAGGCGCCATTTCGCGGATGGCACACACGGCAGAGAAGATGGGGCACCTACCTCCGCGGTGCACCTTCACGGTCGCCGTGGAACTAAAGCAGGAGGGCAAGACTCCAATAGGGGTAAGACCGTTCACAAGGAGAGGCAAAAAGGATTTTGGCTAACGGGTACCAGCATCCACAACCGTGGATTCCTTCACCGGCCAATCTACAGACTCCATCCAAAGGGAAGCGGAAGAAAGGAAAGGACGTGGGTGGCCGCAAGTCAATTCCTATCCGATCGGTGGCGGCAGGACCTCTCTTCTTTGAGTGCTGGGTCGAAGAAGCCCAGGCCAAGTTGGATGCCTCGGAGGCTGCCCAGGGGGATGCCGTCAAGGCACCTTAGGCGAAGTGCTGTAGGGAGACAGAAGCGCAGTTTGTTAAAGGCAGGCTATCGCCCGCCCATCTAAAGAGCATTCTGAACAAGGCTTTCCCCTTCTCTCAGACCACAATTCTAGCACATCAAGATTACCTCCCCTCCTTTGCTCAGCTTAGGTGTTCCGTAGGGCAGGATTCCTTCTTAAACAGTCTCTAGCACTAGCAGTAATCTGCCGCTATCCAAGGCGCATTTCCGAATCCTCACCGCATATCCCGCCTTAATGCGCCACTAACCGAGGCCTTGCGAAAACATCTTGCTTCGCATAACAGCGCAGCGGGAGGTTGCACAGCCCCCCACATTTGTGAAGAGGGGCTAGCCATCACAAGACCTCTCTCCTCTTTAAGTCTAAAGGGAGATTATTTCCGAGAAAACATATAGAGCTCAGGGTCCAGGACTGGCCGAGGGCGAGTTAGAGAGGAGATCAACGTGAAGTTAACACAGTAATAGCCATGTCTGCATACGATTTTCTCGTCCTCCTCGGAGACTCCATCACTGAATGGGGTTTCAATCAAGAACACGGCTTCGGCTGGGTTGCCAGGCTGTCGCACGCCTTCATCAGCCGCCTCACCGTTGTCAACACTGCTGTGAGCGGATACAATACCGACCAGGCCGTCGCCAAGCTCCCAGTGATGGTTCCGCCCCCGAGCCGCGGCCGGATCAAGATCCTCGTCGTTTTTTACGGAGCCAATGACGCCCGGCTCCCAGACGATGAAGGAACTCGTCAACAACATGTCCCGCTAGAGCGGTATCGCGAGAACCTCGCTGCCATCGTCACGGATGCGCGTGTCAAAGAACATAACCCGCACATCGTGGTCATCACTCCGCCGCCCATCGACGAGCGTCTCTGCGAAAAGAATAACAAGGAGTGGGGCGTAGTGCAGATACGCAAGGCCGCGGCCACCAAAGCTTATGCGGAAGCCGCGCGGGAGGTAGCCGAAGAGACGGGTGCTGCGGCGCTCGATCTCTGGTCTATCTTTATGGAGCGTGCTGGGTGGAAACCGGGAGACCCTCTGCAAGGTTCAAAGGACGTGGAGGAGAACCCGGAGGGTCTTCCGAAGCTGCTCAGGGATGGGCTTCACCTCACGGTAGAGGGAGAGCAATTGCTCTTCGAGTCCTTATTCAATTTCATCAAGACTACATGGCCGGAGGAGGGTTCTCTTCCTTGGGTGCTTCCTCGCTGGGATGACGACTCTTGGCTCCAGTCCTGAGTATGTTGGGCGGTTCTGTTGAGGCTTCGAGAACATCTATAGAGTCTAGTTACTACATTATAGAGGGCGCTGTTGTCGTCGACACTCCGTGTAAAGACTTGTTAAGAGCTTGTCAATTCAAGAAATGAAAACCAAGATCTTGAAGTCTCGCTTGCTCAGCATTCTTTTTCTAAGGATATCCACCCTTTTTTGAACAGAATTATATGTTGAGCTTTGACCATATCTTCGCCAGTCTACATTCTCATTCAGTCCAACAAAATAGACGAACCAGTCTTCCCTGGGACTTCTACGCAGTGCTGGAAGCGTTCGAGTTGCTCACCCTCCAAGTGGCAGAATTTCAGAGACAAGGCTGAAACTAAGGCATGGGTCCCGATATGGCAAGGCTCTCGCTGCGACCAACGTTGGAATGAATGAAATTTCTTTGTACGCTCATCCCTTCTACAAGGGATAATACTGCACCAGCAGCTTGAAAGTCCGAAGCCAGGATGTGGTTTCGCATGGCAGGTACAAGTGAAGTAGCAGCCTCTCCCGCTACAAGACCCGTTATATATTATCGGATAAGGTCAGGCGACCAAAAGAACGGAAGTGCAAGGTCACATACCGAAAGAGGGAGAAGGACATAATATCACAATGGTTACTTCGCTCGTTATCGCTGGATAGATACGAGGTACCAACAAAGTGCTGAAGGCGATAGGCAGCGGATGTCGGCCACCGAGTCTCACCAGATCGACAACGTGGCTTACCATTCCCGGGCACCCGTCCCTCGGGTTCTGGCCGCATTTCCCATTGAGATCCAACCCCATGGATGCCATGCCTTATCCGACAGTACCACTGTCCCCAAGCCAACGGCTGCCAAGGGCCGCGTCATATGACGAGTCCAATACGCCGGGATGCGTACATGCGAAGGAGGAACATTGTTCGGTTGCATGCAGAGAGAGCGCAAGATCTACCTTGTATCTCTCTATCGGGCTAAGCACCCACCTGGATTGAACATTCCTCGGCAACTTTTTCCTGGGAAGCGCGCTAAGCCTGTGAACCGAAGCGGCGTCTCAACCACGTCGCTGCCGGATCCGGTGACGGCGAAATGACAGCGCAGAATTGGCACATGGTGTGTGAGTCCACTGTACCTACATCACGCAGTCAGTTCCAACATTTGCCTCCGATCTCTGTCCAGGATCCCTCGTTCTGTGTCTTTTCCAGTCGACCAAACTGTCTCTGGCGACCTTTGAGTGATCACCACAAACTCGGCCTCAGCTCGGAGCCCAGGGAAAGGAATGGCATCCCAATCACCACCTGATCTGAAAGAGACGCTCGCCTGTGGACGCGGGATCCTCTGTCTCGGTCTCCCACGCACTGGCAGCTACTCACTGGTCTATGCTCTGGATCTTCTGGGCTTCAAGGGCATCCACCATGCTTTGAACTACTCAACCGATATCACCGAGGTCAACGACATGTGGATGGGTTGGGGCGTGGCAGGCTGGGCTTGTATGCCTTACATGCGAGAGGAGCTCTACCCCAACAGCAAGCCAAAATGGCTAGCAGACTCGGCGTCCCTCCGCTTCAACCGGGCGGACTGGGACGACCTCGTCGGACACCAGTGGCTAGGTGTGTCAGACGTTGGCGCCGTGTTCGGCCCGGACCTATTCAAAGTGTATCCCGAAGCAAAGGTGATACTCGTCGAGCGCGACATCGACCGATGGGCCGAGAGTTTTGACGAAGCCATCATCACGCCGCTGTCTACGCCCGGGGGCTGGGCGGTCCGCAATGTCATCGGCCCGCTGGCGGGATTCTACAGCAGCGGCGTCTTGTGGGACATCATGAGGGCCTTCTTCAGAGCCAAGACGGCCGACGAGGTACGCGCAAAGATGAAGGACCGCTATAGAGAGCACTACGAAACGGTGCGAAACATGGTACCAGCAAACCAGCTGCTGGTCTACAAGCTGGGAGACGGGTGGGAGCCGCTCTGCACGTTCCTGGACAGGCCAGTTCCAAACGTGCCATTCCCGAGGTTGAACGATCGGCAGTCGCTCTCAGAGCGCAGGAGGGAGATCTTTGAGAAGATTTTGAAGCGACTGTCGTATGTAGGCATCGGGGTGGCCATGATATGCTGTGTTGTATGGGTCTTGGTGTCTTGGGGGATCTAGTCGCGCGGGTGAGCGGTGTAAGAATGTGGTCTCGGATGTCTACCATCAAGTATTTCTTGTTATGTTTTCCTAGCGTCGGTTTGGATATGTGTTTGGTTTCTTCTTTGTTCCCCCAAGTTTCCTGCGGTTTGCTATAGTATGGCCGTGGTAGCATAATGCTGAGGTTTTTGAATGAGGGAAAACACCAGAAAATGAATATTCGACAATGTGGTTGGAGCTGTTCGACCTAATTATGTATCTGCTATTTGTCGACTTGGTGACCGGACTACGGTGTAAGGTGTCACCACCTGGTCTCTGGTCGTAATAAGGATTGGAAGATATTGGCCGTTACATTCTCGCCTTACCGGGATACTTTCCCAGGTACCTTGAGTCGGCTTTCGTTTACACTAGTTCGACGAACCGCCAAAACCAAGACCAAACAAGACCTATATCAGGTTCAGGGGTGTTTACATAAAGTGACTGACTGAGCGGCGAAACATTGCCCACAGGCCTACTACTTTGACCATCCTCTTTCATGCTAGCTAAAAGTTTGAACAACTACCGTGGCGTTCAAATGTGAAGATAGTGTCTTTTAGAGTTAGAAGAGAGATATAAAGATTCATCGGCGGTCCGTCCATGCACTCCTTCATCGCTCCTTCTTCTTGGGAAGAGCAGTGCAGTTCAAGCAGTTGACTGCCTCCACGACCACGTCTGGGGGATGGAGCGTCAACAACGTATTTCAAGCGAGACCGCGGAGTATTTACCGGGACAACTGGCCGAGCCCAATGAGGCAATGTTAAATAGACCCCAGATTTGCGCGGGGGAGGGCAACCTAAGGGCTCAAGGGCTCAAGCTGTGCTCCACTCAGGTGCACAAATGGATCGTAAGGCAAGCAAAGACTTAAATATCAAAATTTCGGCCGTTGGGCTTCAACAAATTCGTCCAATCGGATCACAGGGCCGCATGGCGAAATGGCATCGCGTCTGACTACGATATCCCGTAGTGATCAGGAGATTCTGGGTTCGACCCCCAGTGTGGTCAGCTTTTCACAAGCACCCGATTATACGCAGGCCGCATGGCGAAATGGCATCGCGTCTGACTACGATCCCCGTAGAGATCAGGAGATTCTGGGTTCGACCCCCAGTGTGGTCATTTTTTTGGTCTTTTCATGTCCCCAGGCAAGGGTATTCGCCAACATGAATCGGAACTACCAATTTTTTCCCTCCCTTGGCTTGAGTGGTGGGCGCCCTGGTTGCCTAGGTTTAGACCCCTTCCGCTAGATTATACAGTTTAGGAAAATATTAATATTCATCGTGATGGACCGTCTCCCAAATTATTGCTACTCGAGGCACCTCTTCAGTGTCCTCCATGCATGTCGGTTTGTTTGTGTTGAATAAGGGGCGACGGTTTTAAGACGGCAAAACGGGGTGTCTCCATTCAGCCGTTACCGAAACCGATCTATTACGGTCGGCTCGTGGTGGGCCCTACAAAACGGAGCATTGACCCGATAAGATAGGGTGGGCCACGGCGAAAGGAAAGAGCTCGGTCGGAGCGAGCATCCATCCTTCAACATCCCGCTTCGTCACCACTTCGACGAGCGGCACGCCCAATGGCGCCCTCCCGAGCTGTCCGAGTGCTGAATCGGCCCATGAGGAGCCTCCTGCTAGACCAATACGCCCAGATCTCGCGACCCACGCCACGATTCCCCAAGCTACGGCACGACAGTCGAAATGCATCTCCCCTGTGCCTGAGCTGTACCATCCGGGCGGGCTTTCGGCTCTACTCGACCGACTCCAAAACGCCCGATGCAGCTAAGAAGTCAGAGGCTGCCGCGCCCTCCTCCACGGCTGACCAGGAGCCAAGCCTGCAATCCGATGGTGCCCGCCCCGAGCAAGGCGCCACCTCTCCGCCCTCACCCGACCTCGAGCTCCCCTCGGCCAGCGAAGCAAAGCGCTCCGTCGCCTCTGCGCGCTTCAGCCACTTCATGGACGACCTGCAGTCACGCGCTCTCGTGGCAGGACAGAAGCTCAACGACTTGACCGGCTACACCGCGATCGAGGCCATCAAGGAGCGGAATGCGGCGCTGGAGTCCGAACTTGCCGCTGCGCAGGCCCGTTTGCGCACCGCCCGGCATGCCTACAAGTCGCTCACGTCGACCCGCGCCTCGACCCAGCGGGAGGTCACGACGCTACTCGCCCGTAAGGACACGTGGAACCCAGCCGACCTGGAGCGCTTCACCACGCTGTACCGGTCGGACCACGAGCTGGAGGCGCAGGTGGCCGCCGCCAGCGCCGAGCTGACGGAGGCCGAGGCCGAAGAGGGCAAGCTCAGCGCCGCGCTCAATGCGGGCATCCTGCGGCGCTACCATGAGGAGCAGATCTGGTCGGACCGCATCCGCCGCCAGAGCACGTGGGGCACGTGGGGACTGATGGGCGTCAATGTGCTGCTGTTCCTGGTGCTGCAGTTCGTCGCCGAGCCGTGGAAGCGAGCCCGGCTGATCCGGGGCGTCGCCGAGGGCGAGAAGACCTACTGGGAGGAAGTGAGGAGGGACTTGGACGAGATGAAGGCGGCATTGGCGGTGCAAGCCAAGGCGCCAGCCGCCGAGGAGGCTGTGGCCTCGGCACCCGCGGCGGCGGCTGCGAACGTCGGTGCTGTTCCAGAGATTGCCCTCGATCCAGGGCCAGGGTCATGGCAAGAGCTAGTCCTGGACCCAAAGAGATGGGGAGAAGGCTTAGCGGATCTCTGTAGCGAGCGCAGGATTGGTATCCGGATGCGAGACGCGTCTTTGATCGCGCTCGAGGGCGCCGTGACCGGGGCCGCCGTGGCAGCAGGAGCAGCATTTTGGCTCCTGCGGAGGACCTGAGCACGCGCTGGCGCGCCGACGATTACGTGCTACCTCCCAAGATGTGCTTTAAAGTGTGCGATGATACCAAGAGATGTACAATAAACGGATGCGAGTCCTCCCTCTCCCACAAAAAGAAATACTTGGTTGCAAAGTAGCGCAAACGATCCTCGTATCCCATCGAGAGACGCGAGGCCATAAGACATCGCCACTGCTGTGCAGCGGCACAAGGCATATTGGCATCTAGAAGTAGGCACTGCATGAAGACGTTTCTACGAGGAAGCCTGCTTCAGGATGGCCCCTGATAGGCACACATAAGATCATGGCGAGAGGGCATGCCATACCATTAAAGGCCTCGGGGGCCCGTCTAGACTCGAATATGTCCGCCTCTGCTGCTGATGGTGACAAGATTCCCCCAGTGCCATATCCATATCCCTCACCAGACGCGAGCGAGTGTTCAAGGTATCTAATCGTTTGTCCCCCTTCTCCGGTAGATGGTGTACCAGCTATCGAAAACGCAGGGCTCTGCCAGCCTCGTGGTTGCGCGACAGGTGGCATCGAAAATAAAAATGCGTGGTGGCATGTTGCCCTTCCGGTGGCTCGCACCCGTTCTTTTTGTGCACAAAAACAGTCCTCCGTCGAAAACCTGAGTCCGTTTCCTATCCGCCTCCTTTATCCTACTCAAAGTCCGCAGTGTAAGAGAAGCCACGGAACTCTTCTTGCATTGCCTGAGACAGGACTGTCATACTGTTAGCATGCTGCCGGTGATATCAGGCGAATTCACGGGGAGAAGAACATACCAGACTGCACCGGGGTAAGAACGGGCGTGACGCTCGTGAATTCGGAATCGAAGTTGCTCGTGTCAGTGGCGCTCTTGATAGTCGGGAGGAAGGGCGGCTGGACGCGCTTGTGGTAGATGTCCTCCCAGTTGATGTTGCGGAAGAAGGGCTGTGACATGACCTCCTGCGCGTCGGTCGGTCCGCTGCCTAACCGCTGATCCGGCTCGCGCGTGAGCAGCTTCTGGAGGATAGAGACACTATCCCTAGGCATGTGGATCGGATAGAGCGGCTCATCCGCGAGAATGGCGTCGTAGATTTCATCTTCGTCCTCGCCGCGGAAGGGCGATTGCTGCAGGAGCATTTGGTAGATGAGGACACCAAACGCCCACCAGTCGACGGCCCGGCCGTATTTCTTATCGAGAAGGATCTAGGAGGCGTTAGTAATGACCGAGGAGGACGAGGAGGACGAAGATAGAGACATACCTCGGGCGCCATAAACTCTGGGGTGCCGCAGAAGGTGCTGGTGGTCGAACCATACCACATATCCTCCTTGCAGAGACCGTAGTCAGCAATCTTGATGTGTCCATCCGGCGTCAAAAGGATGTTGTCAAGCTTCAGATCACGATAGATAACACCGTTCTCGTGGAAGTACTTGAGTGCCAAGCAGACCTCGGCCGCATAAAATCTGGGGAACCGTTAGTACATTGCGTCTCCAACCAGATCCTCGCTGGACTTACTGTGCTCGCTTAGTGCCGAACTGGCCCCTCTGGATATGCAACATCAGATCGCCACCTCGGACGTACTCCATGACGAAGTAGACTCGGGTCTCGGTCTGGAAGCAGGCATGCAGGTTGGTGAGGAAAGGGTGGCGTTCGCGGTTGGCGATCAGGAACACGCGCTTCTCAGACCGTATGCTCTCCACTTCGTCGTTTTCGATGATGAACTCCTTCTTTAGCACCTTAATAGCGTAAAGCTTACGAGACCGCTTCGTCTCGGCGAGCATGACCTTTCCGAAGTTACCCTTGCCGAGCACGGCCAAGAAGTTAAAGTGGTCTAGGCCGATGCGCTGGCCCGTGCCGGCATCCGTCGCTGACGGCAGAGGCTTCTTGGTGGGAACCGGGACGCCTCCGCCCGTAACGGGCGAAGTTGGCTGCGGCTCTACGGGCTGCGGCTTCGGCGGCTGGACCTGGGCATGGGGCTGCTGGTACATGGGCTGCTGAGGTTGCTGGGGCTGCTGGACTTGATGAGGTTGGACTGGCGGCTGGGCAGGATACGGGTTAATATTGGCGTAGTCAGCCGGGTTGTACTTTCGCTGCTGAGCGGCTTGGCTATACTGCTGCTGGCCATAAGGATCTTGCGGCTGGTCGTAACCACCGTAGCTGCCAGGGCCGTAGTCTGGCCCTCCACCCATCTGGCCCGAAGGCTTGGAGCTCATCGTGCCGGCCATCGCCGCCACGGCAGCCGCTGAGGCAGCGTTCGAGTTGGAGGATTCTCGGTCCGGACCGGGCGGTCGCTGCTGCGGAGAGGTCTGACCCTGGTACATAAGCTTCGCCGCTTCGGCAGCTTCGGGAGACGCCGAGGACGGTCCGTAAGGGGACTGTCCTGGAGCACCGTACGGCGAGGCGGACTGGGGGCCCGGCGAAGTGACCTTGCCGGGGCGCAATGTCTTCTCGCTTAAGGAGGTCGGTTTGTCCTGGCGACTCTTCTTCTGCGACCGAATGCCTTCGAGAATCTGGTTCGCGACGGCCATGGACATACCACAGAAGTCTGGAACGAGGTGGACGCATCCGGCGTGCGCGGTGAGAGAGCATTCTATAGACTGTTAGCAAATCGCGCGGCCGTCGGTGAAGAGGGGATTCAACACGCACCTGTGCACTTTCTCGAGTTCTTTTTAGAGCCGATGGGCAGCATATAACCGCAGTGGCAGCACCAGTTGGCTGTGAGATTCGAGAACGGCTGGAAGCGATGGGGAATGCGGTGGTTGATCTTCTCCTCATCGGGATCCGTCTCGGCATTGCTCTTGCTGATGCACTTGGTGACAACGCTGGTGTAGCATTTGGTGTGGCATGTGTACTTGCAGTCTTCACACTGCATACCGGCCGAGTACTTCAAAAATTCGCCGCAGAGCGCGCAGCGCATGATGTTGTAGAACTGCCGCTGTACGAACTTGTGGCCGTACATCTCATGGACCTCCTCCTTACCCTGTCGGATAGCGCCTCTTCGGTTGAGGCCGAGGTCCAGGGGTCGGCGATCCTTGCTCTGCTTGATGAAGTTCAGGCTCAGCTGGATCTGTCCGGAAGGCTCGAGGTTGAACCATCCCTCGATCGGCTGCGATACAATCTGCGGCTGGGGTGCCGGGGCGCCGTAGACGGTGGGCGTCTGCTGGACGACGGGAGAGCCTGGCGGTCCAGCGAACTGCG